CCCGGGCAGGGACCCAGATGGTCCCTGGCTCCTTCCGAGCCCCTGGGAGGAGCAAAAACCGGGGAGAGGGGAGGGGGTCCTGCAGCCACCACAGCCCCTCGCAGAGGTTTTCCCCTCGAGGGAAAGGCTGGAAGCTGAGAAGATGCCTCGGGTGGCGGTCCTGCGGCGCAGCCTGCAACCCGGCAAGCAGGGTGCGGGTACAGAGGAAGGCTATTTCCAGAGCATCCTTCCCCACTCATTTCTTTTTTTAAATTATTTTATTTTACGGGAGAGGGTTTCTCTCCCTGCTCCATGCGTTTTTCCACCCCGCTGCTTGTGGGAGGTCCCGTATTCACTCAGCTCTGCACTGAAGAGCGGCAAACAGCCAGGGAGAGACTGAACCCTAAAGATCAGCATTTCCCTTGCCCTAATAAAATCAAAACAGAGAGAATAAACAAACCAGGCAAGAGCATGTAGAGACCCACATCCATTTTCCCTCTGTGCCAAACGTTTCATGGTGCTGGGATCGCTCCGGCGCTTCAGACCAAGGGCATCAGACAGCTTCTATTTGCTCCTCCCTGGGCGAAAGAAGCGGGGCAGAGTCGTCTCCTGCATCGGTTGCTCCTAAATGCCGTTTCCCCGGGAGCTCAGCCCATCTGCTGCCTCCCTGGGGGGAACAGCGTGGGGTTTCTCCCCTTGCTCCCCTTCATCCTGCATCCCTCAGGGCGATGGGTGTCCAAGCAGGCAGTTTTGGAGCTGTTTGAGGACTTTGGGAGCGAGATGGGCACCTCCATCCCCAGTGCCACCATCTCCCTCACCCATCCCGGGGCTGTGTAAACACCCTGGCACCCTCCAGCCTTCTTGGGGACAGCACAGAGGGCTGACAGTGGAAAAAAAACCTTTAAATCTCTGAGATGCAGAGCACTACATTACCTCGTATCAGAGCCAACACCAACCCCAAGAGATTTTTGGGGCAGATGTTCCCTGCGAAAATACATCTGCAAGGGAAGCTTTGGTGAGCTAAAGCGGGGCTGTTAAAGCTGTGCTTAACACCAGGGTTTCTCCTTCGCTGCTCGAGCATCGCAGCGTGCGTGGGAGGCTGGCTAAAATAGCTTCCTTGCTAGGGCAGGGTGTGCTGAAGCTCTGGGTTTTTTTGCTCTTTGCGTTAGGGGTGGGTTTTTCCAGCCCCTCGAGAGCGGTGATGTGCCCAGGTGGGATGGGGCTGGTGCAGAAACACGACTTGCAAAGCCCAGTCCCTGCCCGACCCGGGGAGCGGGGGCTGCTCCAGCGGTCAGTCTGAACTCACCCATGTTTGGCACAACACTACACTTTGTATTCCCAAAGGGAAAGGGGGATCTGCAGGACTCCCTGCTGCAGGACCAAAGGATTCTGCAGTCTCAAAACCCAGATGAATTCACCCAAGAAGGAAACCATCCCCTGAAGACCAGCTGTTCCATGCCAAGGCAGCGGAAAGGTGTTCAGAAAATGTGTAAAACATGTCTACGTGGCACTTTGGGACATGGTTTAGCAGGAAGGATGGTGTTGGGGTGACGGTTGGACTTGATGATCTGAGAGGTCTTTTCCAACCTTCATGATTCTATGAGTTTCAGGAAAACCATCTGCGCGTGAGCTGCAGACTCCTGCCCTGCTTTACACCCCTGGGACCAGGGTTTGGCACGGGGGGTACAGGGTGGGGGACAGGCAGAAGGGGGTTTTCCACCTTCCCTGGAGTTACCTTTGGGAGAGTAAGGCAGCAAGCAGCTCCTGTGCATTAGCAAGGAGAGACAGGGAGGGACTTTTTCCTCTCGATACACCACTGGGAAGCAGCCGGCGTATGCCCGGTGGTCAAGTCCATGCCCTGGCAGAGGAAAGAAGGAGAGAAGTTGTTTATAAAGGTGATGAACTTAATGGGCCCTTTGCTCTGGATGACCTTTTACCTACGGGGTTAAAGCCCAAAAATCCTGCAATAGCTTAAAATAGCCCCAAAATCCTGCAATAGCTTCAGGGAGCAGAATTAACCTCCCTCACGCCCAGCCCAGCCGTATTTCTTTAGGATGCAACATTTATCTTCTCCCTTCTGAAATCCCTGGGGGTCTGGGGACTCTGGAGGAGGGTTCCCCTCCCTTTCCAGGGAAAATGACCTGCTCTGAGAATTTGAAGACATGGGACATGCACAAAGCGGCTGCAGGCACGTTCTCTGCGTGGGCTGATTTTGGGAGGACAGAAGAGAAAATGCCAATTTTTGTGTAAAGGTAGGTTTAAAAATAATAGTAATATTTCTTCTCCCTAAAACTCTTAGTCCAGCATTTCTCCAGCTGCAGGCCGTGATGACCTTGTTAAGACACTTGCTCCTGGGGCATGCTGGGAAGGACTAATTGCATTTAATGGCAATTAGGAGAGGAAATGGCCAGTGCGCCTCAGCTTAGCCACTAACTGTGGCTTTCTGTCTTTGCCCGAGAAGACAGCACAGATTTGGAGGAGCAGGGATGTTGCTGGAGCAAGATGGATGAACCCCAAAGAAAACTGACCTTGCAAAATAAAGCTGAAGTCCCAAAATAGCCAAAGTTTTCCTCCTCCGTCTTCAGACAGACAAGAGATGAACCAAGGCCTCCTGCCACATCCTGAACCACAGAATCACAGAATGGTCGGGGTTGGAAGAGACCTCCGTGGGCTGGGCACCACTGGAAAGAGTCTGGCCCCATCCTCCTGACCCCCACCCTGCAGATATTTATAAGCATTTCTAAGGTTCCCTCTCAGCCTTCTCTTCTCCAGGCTGAACAAACCCAGCTCCCTCAGCCTCTCCTCGTAGCAGAGATGCTCCAGTCCCCTCATCATCCTCATAGCGCTCCGCTGGGCTCTCTCCAGTAGCTCCTCATCTTTCTTGAAGTGGGGAGCTCAGAACTGGACACAGGACTCCAGATGGGGCCTCACCAGGGCAGAGCAGAGGGGGAGGAGAACCTCCCTCAAGCTGCTGGCCACACTTCTCTGAATGCACCCCAGGATCCCACTGGACTTCTTGGCAGCCAGGGCACAGTTCTGGCTCAGGGTTGGCCTGTCATCCCGCAGCAGACCCAGGTCCCTCTCCACAGAGCTGCTCTCCAGCACGTCCACCCACTGAAGGCAGTGCGCAGATACATTCTTCCATCTTCATGTACAAGTGACCATTAAAGTGGCTGTTTTATTAACTATTGTTAATATTACACCCTTTTAACTCTAATGACAAGTTAATAGGCACGGTTATTAATATGCAAATTCTGAGAAATCTCATTATCTCCATGGTCCTTAACCTCTCAATGTTTTGAGGACTAGCGTCCCAAAGCAATCTTCCCTGTATCACAGAGGTTGACATTTCTCCCCCCGAGGAGGCAGAGCCTGCCCAGATGGATAAAATTAATCACTTGACACTATCAGCTTTTGGGGAGAATTGCCAAGGACTGCTTTTGCTTACAGAGATGTTCCTGGTGGAGGGTCTGGGATATCTAAACCATCTCTGATTTGGAAACAGAGGAGCTTAACCCACTTTCACAGAAGAGTGGCCAATAGCTCGACCACTGGCAGGTACCATAGTGCTTCTCCAGTGGTTGTGATCAAGGGTAACGATGACTGAGGTGTTTCAGGGACCCAAATTGCTCAAAGCATCACCTCCTCTCCTTGGGCACATCCCGCTCTCCCCCTGAGGGTCTCCCCTCCCAAAGAAATCCCATCTCCTCCCAACGAGCATTGAAGGCCAGGTCCCCAGAGGTGTTTCCCCAGCAAATGCCAAGTTGGTGTGGTGGGAACATGGTACCTGAGGGTTGGCTGAGTCTTCCGGATGTAGAGCCCTTGACTTGGGATCCAGCCCAAGGTGGCCAGTCTCAGCCCCTCAGTGCGTGGGCCGGGCAATGGGGCTGGCAGACATCTGCAGCAAACAAACAGGAGCTCAGGGGGAAACTGAGGCACTTGAAAGGCCCAAGAAGGCAGCGAAGCTCTGCATTTAAACTTTCAAACCACACATGCCCCCAAAAAATCAACCCACAATTTTAAAAAGGGTAAAAGATTTTCAAAGAGGGATCCCTAAATAAGACACAACA